TCCGGAAAGAAAAAAAACTTAATTTGAAACAGGAAGTGCGAGTGAAGATCTTGTGTGGAAAAAATCTGAGCGAAATGATGAAGGGTTTACCTCAGGACACAAACCGGGCTCGAACCTGAGTTCACCGGTGGAAAATCCCTGTCGCATTCCACTGGACTGTCCTTCCACAGTGACGTCGGCTACTACTACCTCTATCTATTGTCGTTCCATAGTCCCGTTGCATCAGGTCTATAAATATAAACACCCGAAAAGTTTGATCAGTGATTTTGCGTGGTCGAATGGATAACGACAATACTTGATACCCGGGAAGGCCGGGTTCGATTCTTGCTTAATTTATAAATAGAGCACATGGTGGGTCTCGAACTCGGTTCGCCTGACCACTACTCGATGTCTTTTACCATTCGGCCATTCTGGCGCGAAAATTTCGAATTTTTTACATGTAATTATAGGGCGTCCGTCTTAAGATGAGCCTGTCAAGAAAGGAACATGTTTGGTGACACGCTTGACATCTGTGGTGGCGTGTTCGCTTCTGCTTCAAACTTCTCACTTCGCCCCTGAACGAGGTGACGGGAAAACACTTGTTCGACTATTGCTAAATTTATAAACGGAGAGCAGATGGAGGTTCAAACTCGTTCCGCCTGCCTACCCAGCGAGCCTGTCAAGAAAGGAACATGTTTGGTGACACGCTTGACATCTGTGGTGGCGTGTTCGCTTCTGCTTCAAACTTCTCACTTCGCCCCTGAACGAGGTGACGGGAAAACACTTGTTCGACTCTTGCTAAATTTATAAACGGAGAGCAGATGGAGGTTCGAACTCATTCCGCCTGCCTACCCAGCGATGTCTTTTACCATCAGGCCATCCTGGGACGTACATTTCGCAATTTCTATATGTAATCGAAGGCGGCCGACCACACGAGTCCGTTTTTTTGACGGTAAAAAAAAAATAATTGGTGAGACGGTTGGCGTCTCTCGTGGAGTGGTCACTGATGGGACGAGCTTCGCCTTTGGGCGACGTGACGGCACTCCAACCTCACCCATCACCCCTCGACCACGCCAGTATTTCCGACCGCTGCCTGCCTTCAGAACGCCATCCTGAGATCAGGAGAGAGTTTGCAAAGCCAACTCCGTTTTCGATTAAAGACGAGTTGCACAAAGAGATTGTGTCGTTTTGTCATTTTGCTTTCTTGGCGATCGTGAATAAAGTGCAAATAAAACACCCATACGCACACTTCCAAACGTGCAAGCCAACTTTATTCATTGTTTCAAGATGCTTTTTAGATCAGGGCAACTCCGCTGGAAAAGTTGAGACGCAAGTCTCGTCTGTATGCTTGCGGGGTGCTCTCTGCTCGTCCCAACGGGGCCGGGGGCTGAAGAACCTGCAAAACCCAAAGGATCGCGGTGAAATCAAACTTCGTTTCAGATTGGGGAGGAAACATCGGATGACTTTCTGAGGGCCCCCATAACTTTTCCCCCTCAAAGTATTCACCGTACATCGATCAACATGAAGCCCCCCCGCCCCCACCACGACCACCACCACTTCCAAAACAAAGTTTACCCAACTACGACAATGCGGCAATGGGAGGTAGAACCAGGCCTCCTTGTTCCGAGTCCACCCGCATGAAACTCCAGCAGAATGCGGTCTCTTCCCAGCCCCTCCGCCGCCACGAGCAGCCCGTCACAACTGGACGGGGTCAGAAACATTTCGGTCTCAAACTCCAGCAGAGGGCCCGCTTTTGGCAAGGGGAAACAATAAACTCGCTTTCCAATCTCAGCTAACAGCAGTAAGAATCATTGTCAAATTCGACCGCAAACTCGCAAGAGCTCGCGCCGTCGTCGACGGTGTTCACGCTTAAAAACAAACAAAACAACACAACAAAAGGCCTGAACTAAACGTAAGGGCGCCGTCTGCTGGTGTCCAATAGGAACGACAAACCTTCGACTGAAGTGGCTTTCATTTTACAAGTTCAGTCCCACCGAAAAAAATACAACTCTCTGGGTACATTTAACAGGTGCTCTCTCACCATGTTGGTCTTTGTCATTGTGTTTATGATCCTCTGGACGAGTTGGAACTGGGAAAGTCAATTCCTTTTGTGTTTCTGCACGCTTGGCGAATACAGTACTGGACTGTAAATTTGATTCAGATTGCTTACCAAACGCCTTTGTGGTTTCCCGGACAGTAGGGGGCGATATGGACCAAGGAGATCCAATCCACCGAGAGGAAGAATAACAATTAAACCCAAGAACTGTACCACATCCGGTTCAATGAGCAAGTTTTTCCGCTTTCCACAAGCCCTGTTCTAAGTGAGTAATTTTAACATTTTAAACTGACTTCGCCGTTTAACTGTGAGTGTGTAGATGTAGACAGTTGGGGAGCGTTATTAAGACACGTTGCTCCTCTAATTTTGCTGTTGTTACTCACTAAGTCACTGGAAGTTATCGTAAAAAACAACGTCAGCAAAGGGGGCAGACTTGAATACTATTTTGAATGTTTTCCACACCAAAGCTGCTATCAACAGTGGAAATGTGATGGCTTCACATCAGGGGTGGTGGAGCAGATTTGTTTCAAAACTATTCACACAAATGCACCCGTGATTTTGTTCTCTTGTTTTTTGAAAGGAGGTTGCTCATTGTACCTTAGGTGTGGGGAGAGAGCCGCGAGTGGATTGCTCAAACAGATGCATTGCGAGTGCCGGCACGTTTGGAAATGGATGGGTTGAAAGTAAAAGTCTGCCACTTTACGAATAATGATTCAAATGAAAAAGAAACAAAGTGTGTGACTTTCCACTTTCGTTTTATTTTCTGCCTGACCAGATTTGTCAGATTACTGGGCCAAAGGCGCAGCCGCCAGACTCTGAGGACATGCGGGAGGGACGCCGACCTGCATTTGGACACGTGTGAGTACTGAGCTGTGTGGTGTGCTTGAAGAGCTGATGTCTGATGTCACGTTGCACCACAAGTGGAGGTGAGTGTGCCCGCCTGTCTGTCTCTCACTCAACTTAAACTTCTGCTTGTTGTACTGCACAACAGTGTCAACTCCCCATAGACAACGCAAGCATCATCAAGCACTTCTGGAATATGTTTTTAAACCTTGAAGTGGACCAAGTTAGTTTAAAAATGTGTCTGTTTGCATGTATATATAATATATACATACATGACTAACTTAGCCCATTTCAATGTCATTTAAAAACTTGACTAGAAGAGTGTGAACTTGGTCAATGTCATTTAAAACTTGACCAGAAAAGTGTGATCATGTTGTTGTGGAGTACACGGCAGTTAGGTTTTGTCTCAGTGATAGAAGTCGGACGTGCTCATGTCCCCGTTGGTGTGTCATGAGATGTCAGTGACATCACACACGAGCTGGTCAAGCACATGCTCCCATCTCAGGCCTGTCGTCAGTGTTTGTGTGCGTGCAACTTGAACTGGCCCACACAAAGATTGACTGGTCAAATGCTTTTACATTGTCATGTTCGCTTTTCTGTCCAATAA